AGTTGTGTGATTTTCATGAACGCACACCTTCTGATTCCAATTCTACAAGGAATCTCAAAAAATGAGTCTGATTGTTGCAACAATTTTTTCTCGAAATCTGTATGGGTGACAAGAAAAAATGTTTCACTATATCGATCTACCCAAGATTCCGAGTTGTGTGATTTCCATGAACGCACATCATCTGGTTCCAATTCTACAAGGTGATTCAAAAAGTGACTGATTTAAAAAGTGTTGTGTTTCAACAATTTCTTTTTCGAAATCTGTTTAGATGGCAAGAAAACTGTTATCACCAAGTTAATATACTCAAAAAACTATGGAAGTTATTTGATTTTGATGGACGCACATCATCGGGTATCATTTCTATAAGGGGTATTGGAAAGTCTAATATTTCCAATTTTATTTTTCCCTAAATCTGTGTTGTTGATGAGAAAACGATTATCAACGCGTCAATATACTCAAGATAGGTATTTTCAGCCGCAGATATTAGTACGGGTGCTAATAATTTCGTATCCCAACCACAGAATTTTACTATCCTCTACGTCAGCATGTGTGGCCAGAAATCTGTGGATAACTTCACGCCAATACTAAATTTTCTCTTTTAGTCTTATCAATTGTTTGAAAACTCAGTCGCACTGTTATAAATCAAACTTCAGGTACATATTTAGTATTATTTATTATAATGAATGTACCTGTACGCGTATCTCAAGGTATATTCTTCGAATCCTGAATACATATTTTCCAATATGTCGTCGATTTGAAGGTATTTTGGTCTGTGGATATTTTGTTGGTTTTATTCTGCAAAGATAAATTATCATTGTTCAAATTCAAATGTCCTTCAGTATTTACAGACCGTTCTCCAAGACAATGAATATTCACTTTCGAATGATTGATGATAATAAAATAATAATAATCTTCATTTGTATGAGTAAATAAATATTACAAATAATATAACACAAACAAGAGAACAAATGAACAGAAAAATCACTGAAGCAATTCAGACTGCTTGTAGTAAGATATATTTGGGGTTTCCATGATCACATGTAGGTAAATTTTCAATAACAGTCAATGTAGAGTAAATTTCACAAATCGGTAAATTGACATAATCAGGAAGCAGATTGGTCTCTTTTTTCATTTTTTTTCAAATACTCATTTGGAATTTATAATTTCACGAAACAAATCACGTCCCATCTTGATGATTCAGTTAGTTATACAATTTTTGTACTTTCTATATTTTCCAATATTATGAGTCACATGAGGTAGGTACGTATCTACTTATACAGGGCTTTTCATGATGAGCGTTAATTGGCCGTTTCTAACAAACTATTTAACGGATCAACCTGAATATTTCACAATATGCATAAATCTATATGACCTACTTGCCTAATATATTTCAGACGAACGGCGTTGTCGCTTCTACTATAAAGTAGAGGCTTCTTTGATTTTTCAAATGGAACACCCCATATATAATATCATATTATTCATTATCACTTTGTCAACAAATTCATATACTATTTCCCTATACCTATCTATTACCGTTTCGAAGATATAAATTAATTTCGATATTTTTTTTACCAAACATGAACTTTTATAAATGCTCATAATCTTCTCTCTCTTGCACTAAAACGATCAAATTTGAAATAGAGTTTAGTGATACTATGAGGATCTTCACTCCGAGTCATATTTTCATTTGCTTCATACAGGGTCTTCAAAAAATGCAGATACTTTGATCTCATGAAAAAATGAGTGGAACTCAATTTTTTCAAATGGAACACCCTATATATTTCAACATTTTTGAGCTTTACATCCAATTTTAGATTAACTTTGTTCAGATAATACTATTTCTATTTTGAACCGTTTTCGAGATAAACTGTTTCAAACGGAAACTGACGTGGTTTTCTTGCTCGTTTTTTTGAACTGATCACTTATTTTGGATATTCAACATTTTTTTATACTCAGTAATATTTCTTTTTGATCCAGTTTTTTAACTGTCTCAGATCAGTCAATTCGAAATTGGTATGTACCTACCTTAGAAAAAGTATTGGTCTCTAACGTACAACAGTACACATTAATATTTTTTAATAGTGTGCTTTGGAAAAATAAATAAACCAATTATTTAACGTCAGACTTTCGTTGGTGGTTTTGACTGATTGTGATAGCTACCAATTATAATAGAATAATGTCAAGATTAGGTTAGGAAAGTGCAATAGAATTGCAAGTAGAACATGCCGAGTATTTCATGAAAGATATTCACAACTTCCGAAGCCGAATAATAATGTGATGAATCGACTACTAGAGAAAACTGTAGATTGAATGGAACCTTCCGTCCAAGAATCATTCGTAAGAAGACTAAAGTGGATGATGATGACAATGGTATAACAGTTTTGGGATACTTTCATGCAATTCCAAATGCTTCTCTGCACGAGTCTGAAAGGGAGATAGGTATAATATGGAAGGCTACGGAATTTTTTGTTTGGATCTTGGTTTTCAAGGTTTGTATTTGAGGTTGTCTGAATTGAATTTGTTTTAGTACTAAAAAGTAAAGTGTTTACAAGTTTTTCTGGATATGAGTTTTCAATAAGAATTCTTTTTGAAGTATTAAGACAATTTGTGGTATAAATAACTCTTTTTTTCATGTTATTAATCATGTTCGATTTCATTTTAGTTGGATGATAAGAATGATAATTGATGAATCTATTACTAGAAATAGATTTCCTGTACCACTTGCTTATTATAACATTTTCTCTTGTTCTTATGTCCAAAAATGGAACACTTCTATCAATCTCTTTTTCTACAGTAAATTGAATATTAGCATTGTAATTATTAAAAATTGTTAAGGTCTCCTCTATACAATCTTCTGGAACAGAAAGAATAAGATCATCAACACATCTTTTTATAAAAGGTATATCAAAATTTAATTTAAGAATTGTTTCTCTCAATAATTCGTCAAGTACATAACTGGACAAAATTGGAGAGATACTAAATCCCATCGGTGTGCTAAAAATTTGTTTATAATATTTTCCTTCAAAATTGTAATATGTAGAATCGAAAATGAAATAAAAAATCTCCATAAAAATATTAATATCAAGAATACAATTAGTTGGGATATTTTTCCAACCTACCTTACAGCAACTTGTAGTCTATAGTGATCACGGTGAATCTTTTCTGCATGTCCCATAAAATTAGCAAGATCTCCAACTTCCACATCATCTAAATCTAGTAATGCAGATTGTGTTGCCAAATGCTTACGTAGTTGAGTTCCTCGCAATTAAGTAGGATTGGAAACTTTACATTTTTCAGAATAATCTCGCATTATCTTGCAGGCATTCAAGTGAGAATTTCCAATATTTCCAGTAATCCCAAAAACATGGATTAGTATCTGGCACGTTAACTTCCGTTCTGTACCTTAGTATTAACACATATCTTTTGAGAGCAATGCTGTGACTCTCCTCGTGCTCTTTTTCCACGTCTCACAAATGTTGAATATTCCTTGGGATCCTGGTTTAATTTCTTAACAGTGAAATTAAGTAACTCCAAGTCCTTTTCAGTGTTGAAGGTCTGATATGCTTCAAAATCATCAATAAGAATTCTTTCGACCTCTCCTGCTCTTCTTGTTTTGAAAATTTGAACTAAAATCAGTGTTGAAGCTGCTAAGTTTTTCCAATTGCATAACGAAAATGACTCTTGCAATTTTGAAAAACTTTCTTTCATCAAATCATCAGCATATCTGAATAATACATTTATTTCCTCTGTAGAAGGTAATTCCAGAACTTTTTCATTTTTGATGAAGTTGAGAGTCTCAACTTCATCAAAAAAAAACATACTTTAAAATATTGAAGGTACCGATTCACAAGGTACATCAATAAAAAAAAGCTAAAGTCATAAACTTGCATTCATAAAATTGGTGAATGTCGTTTTATTTAAAGAATTTAAACTAATTTAAAGTAAGTCCGTAGTAGTAGGTACCTAATGAAAATAAAAATGAAATGACACAGCGACCAGAATTTTGTTATACTGGTAGGTACCTACTAAGTTTGTTTATTAACAAAATCAGTTTGAGACTATAAGAATTAAGAATATTCATATTTTTTCGTTTTCATATCTTTTCGTTCAATTGAAGCAAAAACATAACCTCTAAAACTTACGTACCTGCCTTTTTCCTTCACCACCTCAAGAAATTTTAACCTGACATAACAAACATACCGCGTACTTGTTATCGTCACTGTTTAAATCAAAATATTGCCATATTGGCGATCGTGTTTTTGATGATGACATTTCTTGTTAATCTATCAGAATTCAAACATAAAATCACGACAAGTGATAAACAATGAAATAAACAACAAAAGAAATGAGAAACAAACACACATTGACACGCGCGATAACACTCAAACGCCCACGAGTCGACCCGAATGCGCGTGAATATTTCCGATCTTGTTCACCGCGCCTATATTCAAATCAAACCGATCGCTTCAACGCAATAAAGGGCCGAATATCCAGCAGCCGGATATCCGGCGCTCCGGCCTAGTAGCTTGCCGAATATCCGGTATCCGTCCAAACTACTATCCGTTTCATCTCTAGTTGAGACTCTATAACTCTTCTATTCACAAAAATGGAAAGTTCTTCCTCCAATACTTTCAAAAAGTCTTCCACATATTGCTTTTTCATGCAATGTTTGTTTTCGAGGAAAATTGTAATAAGGAGTTCACCACATTTTTTCAAGATGGTGCCAAATCAACTACTGCTGCAGGTGAGTCATACCTCATGGTATCATTGTCCAAAGAAGCTACATTGTGTATAGCTTGTATTCTAGTATCAAGATTTTTTTGGATCTAATACAGAGGAGAAATTGTCTTTAGTTTCATCTAATTTTTTGATGGCTAATAGAAATCTTCCAACGAGGCGCAATAGAGCGCGAATCATTTTATAGAAGTGTTCCAATCTGTATTTGCAACACAACGAGTTACCGAAAGCAATTACCAATTCATCATAAATGATAATATTTGTTACATCATCTTCTCGCATGACTGGAAATATGTGATACTTAAATCATATCCCTCCAGTAAACTTTTAAACAATGATTTTGGATATTTATTTCTTTTACAAGCAAACAAAACAACACCAAATTTACTGCTTGTTATCCTGTGCTTACGTGCAATCAACCAGTTTTCACTGTTCTCCTGTCCTATTGTTGGTTGGTGCACCAACAGTACTATGGCCTTGGTTACACCACATTTCTCGAAAAAAAATTCTTTATTCGAGGCATTTGCATATTCTTCGGAAAAGATAACATCTTCAATGCTTTGATTGAGGAGAATCTTTTCTGAAGGAGTAGACATTAGCCACCAAGAAAATCCAGTAGGATTTGAATATCCCAATTCTTTCTTGAATAGATCAAGTTCGTTCTCATTTGCTAGTCTTTGAACAGCTGTGTAATTTGTTCTTTTAGGCTGGTAGATGTCTTTTATCTTCGTAATGACATCAACTTCATCTTGTATGTTTGGTTTGTTCCACACACATGCCTTATCAGTTACACTGATGTTATGATGAGCATATATGCAAAGGGCTGCCTTATGGGGACATGCAGCTAGACCTCTTGGACAAGAGCATTTACTGTCTACTATGCCATCATCAAAATTAATTGAGATCTGGAATACAAATTTTTGATAATCTTTCAAAGTTTTACCATTTATTCAATATCAAGGACATACCTCCACTGTATAGTTTTTGTTTCTCATACTTGCTTTAACTTCGCCTTTCAATAAAGTTGGTACAATGTCACTATCAAAACTCATTCTTACAACATTCCCACTTTCGTAAGAATTTTCACCTCTTTGCAGCTGTGATGAATCATTTTTGAAAAATTCTGNTGCCTTTCAATAAAGCTGGTACAATGTCACTATCAAAACTCATTCTTACAACATTCCCACTTTCGTAAGAATTTTCACCTCTTTGCAGCTGTGATGAATAATTTTTGAAAAATTCTGCTATCACAGAAAATGATATAACATGCTTGGATGCCACTATAAAAAATAAATAAATTATTAATGGTAGGTATTTCAATTTTGATCAAACATGGTAGGTATTCTAACTTTTTCTTTTCATTGAAAAGATGTGTAAATAGGTAAAAAATTATTGCACATCTGTTAAAACATATACTTCAAATATTAGTAAATAATTAGGTATACAGGCTTTAAATTTATTTACAAAAACCAAAAACAGTATCTAATCACCTTAATGAGTTTGTTTGATATCATGACATAACCTATATGAAAGTGAAAAACAGGATTATGTGAAAATCTATTAAAATATAATGAAAGTTTGTGGATTATTCAATCCCGAGTCCACTTCACTGCTCCAAACGAGTAGAGTAAGATTGGAACGGCAAGCATATTTGTTGCAGCAACTTTGTTCTTCCCCGACAGTTCCGATGACCAGATCTGTCGAAGTTTATGCTGAGAGTATAACTGTGGCACCCCCGAGTATAATATCGAATTCAAACTTAACTAGGCAAAATAAGCCTTTTTTGAAGTACAGATTGTACAGAAGTTTATTCAGGGTAGTTCTTTTACAACTTAAATAATTTTTAGCTTCCTAATTATGAGCTTCAGACCATAATGTATTTTACTTTAGTGAAATCTGTTCACCATGGAATATCTGATACTGCAAAACAATTGATCCATTTGAAAAAAATGATGACATGCTCTAGAGGTGCGATAGGGAAAGTTAGATCAAATGTGAATATGTCAAAATGTGTCCCCCTGTGTACTGTAATTGGAGTTTTTTTTTCCTTAATGGCTCGTTATCGGCGTCCTCAAGGGATACAGAGGGTAGACATATGTCAATGATTTTGTGGGCGAATTGCAGTGCTATTTGCTTGAGACGACTATGTTGCTTTCTTTGATGTAGCGACATGTTTGCGTTCTTGAAATTATGCTACTCTCAGACAATACTGAACGAACTATGGCAGAAATTCGATGGAAATGATTGATGTCACATTCTCATAAAAGACCAAGAATTATTTTTGGTTTAAAAATCAGCGTTTTATATTTAAATACTTTTTGTATATTTTTGAACACTACCATGATGCAACTTCTTTGAAACCAAATAATTCCACTAACGACTATTTTTTTTTGTCTTTTCAAGAAAATCGCAGTGATCTGGGGAAACACAGAAAAACAATGGAATAGACTCACACAACTCCATCTGAAGTGCTTATTCGGCCGAAGCAGACCACGAGATGAATCACTCCATCAGTCGGCTGGACAGCTGACATTATTTCTTCCTTTCATTAAAGCTCTTGGTGAGATAGTTTTGGCTGGAACGGCGAGTTAAAAGAAAATTAGGAAATCTGGTGAATGACTACGTTGCTGAGAAGATGATGGATGGCACTAGACTGGTTTTCCATCGCCGAGAAAAGAATGTTACATTGTTGAAGAAAAATCAGTTATAGCCGTATAATCTAATGGCCTGAGATGTCCTGGGCCCATAAAAGAAAACGCGTTTTTTCTGTTCAAAATTGGCTTTATTCATCAACGTGGCTTCAAGAGCCACATAATCATAAAATTTCAATGCCACTTTTGTGGAACGATAATTAATAATAACGANAAGAGAAAATTCAGAGAAATAAGCATTTTAAGGTATGTATCAATCTGTAATATAGAGTACACAATCATTTTGTACAAATTTTGACTAAACTGAACCATACCATTTCAAATAATTGATTAATAATTATTTTTGATAACCTCAAATTTTATCTTAATAATAGATCTAAATCAAGAGCATTTCGAATCTAGACTTTCCTGATTTGAATTTGTTTATATTTTGAATGTATTGTGCAACGAAATCAATAATAATTGATATTAAATATTTTTTTACAGACAATGGTACATTGTTGGGCACCCGACTGTAAGCATTAAAATGTTTGAGAAACATGTAGATTTTTTAGCTTTCCCAAGGATTCAAAAACTAGAAACCGCTGGATTTACAAGGTTAGTAGTTAGGCTTGAGATGATTATATATTATTTTTTAAGTTGGCTAACAATCTAAAATTTGCCATAGACGAACTATACAACCAAGCCCTGGTACATTTTTGTGTATTTGCCACTTTGTTGATGGAAACAAAAATAATGGATCCACATTGTTTTCACACAATACTGGAAAACAATTTAAGTTTTCTTCTCCAGAAAAGAGAACAAGAAAAAGGAAAGTGTTGGATATGGAAGAAACTTCTGAAAATCCTACGTAAGTATTGCCAATAATCAATTTCAAATGTTTTCTTAGAATGTTGTTATTTCAGATATGAAACGGAACTGACTGATCCACAACCGTCCACCTCAAAAGAAACCATACCCCCAGGACCTATGTCTGCAGAAATTGTTGCTGAAAATTATTTTCTCAAGCAAGATCTGCAGCAAGCATTACATAAACTGACCCATTTATCAGAACATTTTTCTTTTGAAAACATAAGGGGCAACAACAAATTGATACTATTGTATACAGGCATACCTACAGAAAATATATTTATGTCCCTATTCAATTTATTAAAAAACATAGATATAAATTGGTATTATAGTTGGAAAGTACAAAAATTGAACAAAGTGGATCAGTTATTGATGACTTTGATGAAAGTAAGACAAAATTTTCCCCATGAGGATTTAGCCGTTCGATTTAATGTGTCACGTTCATCACTATCGAATGTGGTAACAACATGGCTTCATGTGTTACATGAAATTATTTTCAAACAAATGATGTCAAAAATTTCACCGAGAAGAAAAAATAAACTTTGTTTGCCAAATTGTTTTAGCAGTTTCACGAACTGAAGAATCATTTTAGATTGTACCGAAGTGTATGCAAGTAAATTGAAGGGGTGTTTCTTGATCTAGCATGAAGGTTCAGAAACTAATATTTAGTTCATACAAGCATAGAAACATATGCAAGGGTTTGATAGGTGTAGCTCCAAATAGAGTAGATACTTATGTGTCATGCCTATATCCAGGATCAACATCAGACAAGAAGATAGTGAAAGATTGTGGAATCTCAGATCAATTTGAAGCAGGCGATTTAGTGTTGGCAGACAAAGGTTTTTTGATCAAAGACATTATGCCTGCAGGAGTTCATATTAATATTCCTCTGTTTTAACGATATCCCAGTTTACCCCAGAACAAGTGAGACAAACAGAATGTATTGCAAGAGCGAGAATACACGTGGAAAGAGCTATTCGAAAAATGAAAATATATAATATTTCAAACTTTATTTCCCAATTCACTATTACCGCATGCTGATGCTGTTTTTCAGGTTATAAGTGCTTTGACCAATTTACAATATCCTTTAATCAAGGAGGTAGAACAGTATCTTACTGAGAGTGAGACAAAATCTTAGTTTCATGTATTATTACCTAATTATAAGTATCTATCAATTATATTATGAATAATATTCAAATTTTTTTCAATCTTTTGTTCTAAAGTCAACATAAAACAATGCAATATACTGAATTATTTGTATGCTTTCGTATAATATACAGTTATTTTACTTATAGAAAATGATGTTAAATAAGAGTAAATTTATTTTGTATGGATAATCACAAAACGAGAAATCATCAAATCTCATCTAATAGTATTCTTCTCACAGATTGAATCTTCCATATACAATACATCATCATCCTTTTTCATTATTATTGTTTAATATAAAATCCATTGGGATAAGTTTTCTCAAAAATTGTTCCAGATATTGTTTAAATACATAATTACTTGGCTTTAAAATGAAATGAAATCTAAACATGCGATGTCTACAGCCAGACATTGCCCGAAAATCTTTTTGCAACAATGTTAAGGTTTTATGCCACAGATCAAACAATTTTGTTGATGTCGAATGTCAATTCGTTTTGAGCCCCGTAATTGGCTTATACAGCGCATGCTAATTTGGATTACATGTCATATGTCCCTTTTTTTGAATCATGCACGTGGTTTCCTCTTCAAGGAACAGGTGGTTTTATAATTTGTTAATATAATGATATATCATTAAATCTACTATATATTCTTTGTCTGTAACGTCCTGAGTGACATCATAGTAATTTTTCATATATATATATATATATATGAAAAATTACTATGAGTATATATATATGAATTCCACGTGCACAAAATCGCAAGCATTAGCTAGTTTTTCAATTTTATTATATTTGGTATGTAATGACAAATTGCCTCAGAAGGAAAATAATTTGATGAAATCGAATGATGTCTCAAATAGTCTTAAGTTCACCCAAGACACACGTGATCCTTTACCAAATGTTACACTCATATCGTTTCGGTTTTTTCAATTTGCACATGACTAATGAGTTCAATCTAAACAGTTATCTTACCTAAATCATTGTCATAAAGTTTCTCTTCTGAACGATATGATATTTTATTGATTGGTACAATGTTTATATGCTGAAGCTTTTGAACTTGAAATTACCATAAGAGAGCTAGTTGCTTCGGATGCTAGTTGCTTCGGATACATCATTTGAATGTTCATGAGTGTATCAAATGATATGATTATTAGATGATAATGTAAGAAGTTATCAATAAGCCGCTCGAGAATTCAAAAGGAGAAATCCTGATAGTAGAGCTATTTCACATATTTATCTGTGGTAAATGAGATCAACAGGATTACAAATGAGGTGGGCCAAATAGAAATAGTAATAACATACCACAAGGATCCATGATAAAGTATGTAGTGAAAGGAATTAATTGAACCAATTAGATTTGCGTGACAGAAAAGTATACTGTTGTTTGATAAACACAAATTGAAACCATGCAAGCCAGAGTTTTCACCAGTAGGGTTTTGCTTTTGACTACAAGGTGGAAGTTCAAATGACGAAATATTCCGTCAACGATGAGCCGATATTCACACGAACTGTATGGTTTCATCTCAAAATGTGCGACATTGGGCTCGTGAAAATCTAAATTTCAGTATATATTGCAATATTGCATATTTGGAATTGGTCGCGGTGGTAATGCGCCCGACTCACGATCAGAAGGCTATGGGTTCGATTCCCGCCTCAAACAGATATTTTCCTCGGGAGAATTTATCTGGTTGAACCTGGAATGATTCTGCAACCGTGTTAGGAATCACACGTTAAAAGGTGAGACCTCGTTAGTCCTTAGCTCGCACAAGTTTCTCAACTTCTGAGAGTTGTTCGTATGGGGGCGACAGCTGTATAGTTGATTAACGGAAAAACAGATTTTGAAACAGATTTTTTTTCCATAACACACTGTGGTACACAGAATAATTAAATAACTGAGTCTTTCGTTTTACAAAATACCAATTAGAAAAGGTTTTTTGAATTTTTTGGAAGTGACGAGAGAAAATGAAAGTAAAAAATTTGGTCTGATGAAAATAATATATTATATAGATGAACGTGCCTGAAATATAATAATAATATGTTGAATTATTGATTAGTCACAAAAGCTACGAATGAGATAGTAGTGACCAAAACGAAGCCAATTTCCACTTGAAAAAACGGAACGCAAAAGTGCATTTTTCCACAAGTTCTGAGAATTTCAATTCTTATACGACAAAAAAATTCTCAAGCACTAGCGTTTGGCAAATCCGACATTTCGATTTCTCTCTCTGCTTCCTACGGATTCTATGAATCAAGTTCAAGTATCCACTTTCTCTTCACCTAATTCAATCCGATATTTGAAAAAAAGGAACTGATAAGTAAATTATACTCGGCAAACAGTGAAACCTCATAAATACGACAATCTTAGGTGTTCCGCTCTGCACCCACTTGGCCTTTGAGTTTTGACCTGTGGCTAGAATTCCGAAGTCAGTTATACGAACAATTCACGACTTTCAACGAAAATCAAGTCAACTTAAACCGAATATGAGATTAAATTCATTTTGAACCGTTACAAAATTCAAAAAACAAAAATCATAACAATTGGTCCGATTGTTCTTGAGTTCTTTTATTATTATTTTTTTATAACCGTAGTTTGCACTGGTCAGACTCTATCCCCCGAAGCCCCGATACATTCAGGAGGGCGCGCCAGCATTATCAACCAACGACCACTCCCCACACCGTAGGGTAAGTGATCATTGGGTTCCAACATCATGTGCCCTGAGCAAGCGCAGTGTGCCAAGAATGACAGACTTCTGCATCTGTCCGGCCTAAGGTTTTTGCCTTAGTCGGTATGATCTTAAGATTAGAGAGTAGAGAGGGCACCTTTCCACCAAGAACTCAAATAATCAGAACAACCATTTTGACAGAGTGGTCTGGATAGAGTCTTGCGGAGTTCAAAAAGAAAATTTTGATATTTTATTCTCCTCTTTTCGGAAGATATTCGTCCAGCCAGGAGCTGAAAACTCCACGATAAATATCGTTTGCTGTGGTGGTCGAGAAGGACTACATCAGGCTTATTAGCTTGTATGGGCCTGAGGGTGGGAAACGAATAGTAATAAATCGACTCTTCTCGTTTCCCACAACGGATTTAATATCCCACGGAGTGTGGGACAACACCGTAATAGTGCCGTAGATGGTAATATAGCACTCTTAGGGCCTCGTTATGTCGATGGATATAGGTTATTATTATTATTATCAATATCATTAATGATATATAATTTTCTAATACTCATTATTCTATTTCCGGCGAAGATAAATCCATGAATATGAAAATTGTTACAGTCGCTCTGGAGTTTTTTTATTATTACGATTTTTATTTTTGAAATATCATATTTCAATACTTATTATCCCAATCCCGACAAATACATATCCAATAACACAAAAATCATAAAAATTGGTCCAGCCGTTTCTGAGTTTTTTATTGATATTGTTATCATTATTATCGATAGCATATCATATTTCAATACTCATCATTTTATTTCCGATGAAGACTAACCCAAAAACATAAAATTCATAAAAATTGATTCTAGACGTTCTTATAATAAATATTGTCATTGATGAAATATCATATTGTGATACTCATTATCCTATTCCCGACAAAGACAAATACAACAATTATAAAAAGTGGTTCAACCGTTTTTGAGTTTTTTTTTCCACCGTAGTGTGCGCTTGTTAGGCCCTATCCCCCGAATCCCCGATACATTCGAGAGGGCGCGCCAGCATTATCAATCAATAACCACTCCCCACACCGTGGGGTAAGTGATCATTGGGTCCGAGAATCATGTGCCCTGAGTAAGCGCAGTGAGCCAAGAATGACAGCCTTCTGTATCTTTGCGGCTAAAAATTCTGCCTTAGTGCGGCAAGCCGGTATGATTTCAAGATTCGAGAGTAGAGATGATATTATTCCACCAATGACTCCAATAATCAGAACAACCATCTTGACAGAGTGATCTGGAAAGAGTAAGCGGTGTTCGTAGAGAAAATCTCGATATTTCACCCGTTTTTCCTCCTCTTTTCTGACAATATTCGTCTCGCCAGGAGCTGAAAACTCCACGACAAATATCGTTCTGCTCTGGCGGTCGAGAAGGACCATATCAGGCTACGTCCCGGAGCGTAGGGCAACACCGGTGTCTCAATACCGTAAAAGATGGCAC